CTTACTAAATTGCTTAGCAGGTGATGATAGCCTGCCTCAACTTCCTATAATTGTTCCAAAAGTCCAAACCATCCAAAAAAATGTTTTCACGTTCCAAACAAACCAAACCATGTTGCAGTTTGATCCAGACTGAGACCACCTCTCCTGATTGGATGAAATTTTGGTCCTTTGGCCACACCTGCTACATTGGTTCATACCAAACTGAAAAGTCCAAAGTTCCGGACCAAAGAAGGTAGGTGTGAAAGCACCCTCAAGGGTTTTCATTACAGGGTGTGATAGTGGTTGTTTTTCTGCATAGAGAAAAACAGCTTAGAACAGGAGCTCCTTATTTGGGCATGACACCAACTACAGTATGACAACATGACCTCAGAAGTCTATAAGCTTGAACAAACCTAATCAAAATTAGTAACTTAACTAATTTTACCTAATGGAGAACTGTCATGTCTGTCCAAAGGATCAATATATTTGTCATCACATTTGTCATCATATTTCCTCACTGATTTTTACACACTGAGGTATCTGAGGGTGCTGCCTGTATCTGACACGCCCAAAAGAAAGAAAACTGGAGCTAAGGGTCGTAGAGTTCTTCCACTGGATCACATAAATGTGCTTTGTTTAGACAGTAATCTACCAAAGCCAATGTTTTCTTAATAACTTTCAGTTGTAGCCAGTTATAGATGTCAAGGACAGGCACTAATGTTAGCAAAGCTCAACTGGAACAGGCGATAGAAGAAGCAGAGATGAGGCTCCCAGGTCTTTCAACAGCTTGCAAAATTCTGATCAGATTTGTCAACTGTAAACATGGATTAGAGAAGAAGAAAACAAAGGCAGTATTTGATTGTTTAAAAGAACGGTTCAGCAAAAATTTTCCCAATTTTCTCCAAATGTAATCAATCAGCCAGGACATGTTTTGGTGTCTGCTTCTCCAGTTTTCTGCTGGAACCATGAATAGTGAAAGCTTGTGCACTTATTGACCATTTGCAAAATAATGACCGACATGCCTCTCAGCCAATCATTATCGTCTTAGGTTATCTTTTGTCACTAAAATGTTCTCCTTATTAGACATGAAAACCTGCCGCTTTAACGTTGACTGACTAAATGATTTCCCTGGTTTGATTAGTGTAAACCTTCGAGAACTCTTTTTGTTAGCTCTAAACTTACCTACATTCACATTTTGCAACTTCTTCAACATGTATTTCGGCCCTGAACACCTCATTCTCTGTTCTACTGAACTCTTAGTTTGTTAGCAGAAGTGTTACAGATGCACCCAGGTAGCCTGAACTGAACAGGTGTACGTATGTATGTATATCTATGTGAAAAACTCAATCAGAGTGCAGGCGCCCATTTTAAAATGCTAGTAGCACCATGGCTAAAAGCTGCTGCATCACATTTTGCCCATCTAACAATAAAAAAGGACCCAGGCTGTGTTCGAAAAAGCCTACTACGTACTGATCGTGTACTGAATGTGCCCCAAAGTAGTAAGCAGTATGTAGTATGTGACCAACATGAAATTCTGCAGTACACCAAAGATAACTGGATGGTGTATTGCTCTGGGAAATCTTTCCAGTGCGCTGCCAGAGTTATCTCCGAGATATACTGCATCCCAAAATGCAATGCGACCGTAACCACATACCCATCTGGATATTTTTTATTTTTCTTCTATACATTAAAAATGGAACAATGAATTTATATTCAGTCAAACTAGCTCATATTACCAACTACAAGCGTAATGAAAATTAATTGACTCACAAACATAGAAAAACACATGTGCTTGGAAACCTCAAAGGTTTACCACACAGATGAGCCCAAACCTGACATTTTTTTAAAAGTTTATTTGTAGTTAGCAACGGTTACTAAGCAGTAACTGGAGGGCTGAGGAAAATGGGACGGGGGAAATGGGATTGGCTCAGTCCCTGATGTTGGCAGGCTAATCCCGCCCCTTTCCAGTAGCACAGCACATGGCATGTATCGTATAATGGATAATGTACTGTATAGTACTGAGGAAAAGTAGTGTGCAGTACACAGTATATACTGATGCAGTATAAAGTACACAATATAATATTTTGAACACAGCCACAGTTTATGATTTTCTTTACTTACGCAAAGAGCGAAAGACAGTAAAAGGAGAGATCTTTGGCATCAGGCCATCCACAGAGAGGATGAAACTGAGGGACTGGCCAGTTAACACACACGTCTGTGGCAAACACTTCATCACAGGTAAACTAATGATGTTGAAGTTAATAATGTTAAAGTTAACATTTATAATGTTAAAAGTCAATGCAATTAATGCTAACTGGTTGGGGGTAATGCTGCGTTCACATGTGTGCAGTAAATGGATTACGGCAAACCAAAAATTCCATTGTTTTCAGTTGAACCCCAACTGGCAGCATTCCATGGAACACGCGAGAGTTACGTTTTCCTATCTTTTGCCATTGACCGCAACAGTGGAATAAACCGGATGTCGATTTTTTGGGAGCCATGGATGCCAAACGTTTCGTTGTTGAATTCCAGAAGAATACAGTATTAAACAACACATCCTGCCTTTTTCCACCTTAAATACCTTTTTCCACCTTAACGATCTACTCTACTATAGCTCTCCACTGATAATCAGCCCTTTTCACCGACACCATGGGCCCCCGGCCAACGTTTGCGTGGCTTCATGCTATTGTTGGCTGTGTACTGCTATAAGGTGAGGAATGAAGATTTTTTTTCAAAACAAATGCACAAACATGAATGTAGCATTAGCTTTGTAGCTCCTGTGAAAATCTAGAAAGCAAATATGTCTTGGTAAAAACTGCAAATTACGTTTTTTTCTGTAAATTTTTACTACATAGAACACAGTAAAGGTAGAGTACATTTCTTGAAACGCTATGTTCAGCACTTCGGCAAGAAACAATGCCAAATGCATAAGCAAAAAAAATCTTTGGCTTTATTCAGCAGTATAAAATACAACAGGAAGCACAGTTTGATATAAAATGATAAATACAAAATGAATCGAAATTCAGTCAGTGCCAGTGAACCTATGACAACTTTCATTATACAAAATCTAAAATCACAATTAACGATAGATGCACGTGTTGGTTCGGTTTTCCTTTCAGCTCTTCCTCCGATTCTGACTGGAGTCCAACGGCAGGGCAAACAGGGCCTTTTCTATGTCTCTAAGCCAGAAATGACTGAACAACGAAGCAGCTTGTTCCACTTAGTCACAGGTATTGTGGGAGTGCTATAGCTATAACAGTAACAATACAATCTAGTCTTACAATGAAAAAGACACTTAAATAACAAAGGAATGGAAACACAATCAGTTTGCTTATGTCAAAATACATATAAAAGATTCTTTAAAGAAAAATCATACAGAATTCTATTTACATGTGATTTTAGCTGATAAATAGTTTGAACTCTCGGGGCAGTTAGATTTAAACATCAGATTGCACTTATAGGTTTATAGTTTTGTTAAGCATTACGATCTTCTTAACACCATATATAGTGATGACAATACAAGATGTGTGTATTTGGAAAGTTAGCTTATGTTTGAACATTTTTTTATTATTATTTTTGCCCTTTGTCTCCAATGTGTAACACTTAGAACGCATATACAGATATTTATAAGCTTAACCACAGACAGGGTTGTCTGTTGATATAAGTAGCCATAAATGTCTATATATGATTGAGTTATGTATGTGTGAGTTATGTATATGCTATGAATGTGCACAGTAGCGTTCTTCAAATAATAGGTGTTACAGGTTGTTAAAGAGCAACACCAGTTGACACATTTTCTGGGTTACAACAACCATAACATGACTGGCTAGCACTAACATTAGCTAGCAGCACCACAGAAATAGCTAGCTAGGTAGCAACGCAAGTTAGCTAGCTTCCTTAGCTACCCAGCTAGCTTGCCTATTGCTATTAATTTTAGGCAAGCTACAGTCACTACCCCCATAAAAATTGGTTCTTCAGTCCGTCTTTTTTTAAAGGCAATGGTTAAATATAGAACCATGACAACTTAAAGAACCACTCAAATGCATAAATAGTTCCTCTGTACAGCTAAATGGTTATTCGCTATGATGGAAAACGCCTTTTAAAAAATGGTTCTATATATCACTAAAAAGGGTTTTGCTACTCTTACACGTCATATAACCTTTTCTGGTATATGTTTTGCTAAGATTAGCAAAACAAAACTGGAGCAAGTTACTGTAGCTAATGTTACCTACTGAGATTTTGATAATGGTTTTAAATTGTTCTGATGTCACAGCACATGACTTAAATCAAACACTACCCCTAAAACTCTTTTTTAGCATTAAACTACAGTAAAGACAGTATTCTTGTTTATGTGATCAAAAGAACAGATAATAAAGTATCAGACTGTATTTTCCTTACATTCTTCTGTCATTTCATTGGCGTTACTCTTTAAGGATGGCTATGCTGACATCTAAACATTTTATGTTTAAGTGCAGAGATGTATAGCAATCACATTAGAGCAACAAAACACCATTTTAAAGTCACACACTATGAAACTAATTGGACTGACTGACAAGATGCGCTATAATACTACTAATACTACTAATACTACTTTACTATGCATTCACTGAACATGAACTGTCAGGACCCCCCCAAAAAATGAACTGATCAGAATGAGTTCATGTATAATGTCCATAGCACCACTTAATATTTGAAGCAGCCATTAAAAACTTAAACCAACCCTTAAAACTGAGCTAATGATGACAGAGTATGATGATGAATAAGCCTATGAGCACCGTTCATGTTATTATACACATAACCCTAACTGACAGTTTTATCCCTATGAATGAAAATGATATGAATCTCAGTACCTGGTATAAAAAGTAAGAAAATAATTTATGATCTTGAAAAAAGATAAAAAAAACATAAAAGGGTATATTTTAAATAGCACCATATATACAAATCAGGGTAATTCAGGAATGTTGTGCAAAAAAACCTCCGTGCTGGAGAGCGTCTTTGTGACATGCGTCCTGCTTGTTGGTTTATTTGAACCAGTGCAGGTAGTTTGAGTTCACAGCAGGGACACACATGTTATTGCTGCACGACCCTCCATAGCTGGGGGGGCACATGGAGCATGGCACGCCAACTTTATATGGAGCTTCACCAATCCAGTTACCCCTGCAAACAATCACAGAAGCAGCAACAACGTTAACAACGTGAGCTTGAGGTGAAAATAATTACCTGTTTTTTGTGCATAATTTAACTGTTAACTGTATGTGCTCTACTAGATATTTTGCTATTGTGTATGTTCTAAGTATTAAATTATATTTTTAATGTAAGCTATTTTAGGGTGCCTCCTAACAGTTAGTCAAGCTCATTTATGATGTTGTTGACACTGTTTACTACTAGAACAATGTCCTTGCAGTTACAGCTTCAAAAACTTAAAAACAGCTTCTTCATGTAATGTTTATTTTTGGATATAGAGTAAAGTAGTGCCAAAACCTTTTGTTTAGAGAGCACTAAAGCTAATGTTTGTGATGGTGGCTGTGTTTTCAAAAAGGTATTTTACTTGACATTACAGTTTGTCTTCATTTTGTTAATAAAATACACTTTCAGTAAAAAAAGTTTAAATAAGCAAGTATAAAAATATGTTTGCTCTCTTATTGGGCGAAGGGGGACACTTTCTGGCGGACCTAATCAAACGTCCACATTGTCCAGCCTTTCCCTGGACTGGATGGTGCTTTCTGCTCTAGGGCTAAGCTCTTAGTCAGACTAAACTATTTTGCAATGCTTTTCTCAAGCCTGCAGTTCAGTGGGATTTAAATAAGTAGGCCAGAAGTCAGTCATAAGTGGGGTTATACATAAATATTGGTGTGATTCCAGAACTGGGGTGAAATTCCACTGATACTCCATTCGTGCCAGGAGCTTTCAGTCCAAAGCATGCTGTACAAGTTTGTGCCAAAGTGTTTTGTAAGTCATTTCATCTTGCTTTGGAGCTATACTTGAGCACTTGAGGTACAAGTGAACTGTGTATCTGCTATATAACCTAATGAGAAGTTATTGTCTGTGTGTACACTTACTTTGGTGAATAGTTGCACACCAAATATGTCGCTCTTTTCCATACCGCACCCCACACGTTCATATTATGACATGTATGGATGGCGCATCCAATTTTATTTGATGTTGCCCACACCATCTGTCCAAACATAATCAGAAAAACAGTCATGAATAAAAGTTGATTAATTGTAGACCACTGGAAAACAATGGAGGCTACTATACAACAAATGTTATTATAATATAAGCTCTATAAAATCAGCTTAGACTGATGATTACGATGTTAAAAGCAAAAATAGAGTGCTGCATGCAAAAGGAACTATTCAAATGAAAACCTGACACAGCATGAATGCTGCACATTGAGCATGCCTGACTAATTTAGCTGCAACTAACTTAGCTATTATTCTAATTTAGATCAATAGTTAAATATGTATTTGTGGATTCACTCAGGACCGATACAGCATGTCAGCATTAAGAAATGAACAAAATGATCAAACTCACTGAAATTCACTCAAAACACAGATTTAACCGCTCAACACTTCACTCACAATAACTTCACTCATGTTCAGCAGGAATGATAATGCTATCAAAATAAGAGTCAAAGATGCACTTAAAGGACTGTATGTTTTGTAGTTAAAATTAATGCTTGGTAAAAAAAATATTGGACACCTTTTCCCATATTTTTGTTTATGAATCACATTTGAAAACTTTATGTAGTTAAAATTTCTAGTTAAAAAAAATACAGAACGCTTCTTTTCCCTGCATTTTTCCAACTGGCAACCCTTACAGAAGACCACCTGGCTGAGTTTGAGACCCTTGTTACAGACTATCATAATCAACTCACTTGAGTGTAATGCGTGCACATGGGCCCGTAGCATTTCAGAGGACATCTGGGGTTGCAGTCACGAGGGTAGGGGAAGGAGTAGTCTTTCACTTCATCATACCAAGGCTTCACCAGCTGCAGAATGGATCTGTACCTATATCCAATCCACAAACCACAATGTTACTGAGCACCACTAAGGAAACAGATGTTCATTTAATAGTACTGCACTATCCAAGCCCTCCCCACAACTATGTTTTTTTTTGTAGCTACTGTTGTGAGGTTACACCAGCTTTACAAAATGCTGTTCAACGTAATGAGACACTGTAAAACACAACTCAGTTTATATGGAGTTTATGTGGAGTGTCGAGTCTCTGGGGTGCAAGTCTGAGTTGGGTCTTAAGTCTCTGGGGTGCGAGTCCAACTCGAGTCTCTGGGGTGCAAGCCTGAGTCTGGTCTTGAGTCTCTGGGGTGCAAGACCGAGTTGAGTCTCAAGGCTTTGGGGTTCGAAATCGGGGGTCAAATCTTAAGTCTCTGTCTGAGTCAAGTCTCTAGGGTTTGAGTCTGAATCTTGAGTCTCTGGGGTATGAGTCTGAGTCCTGAGTCTCTGGGGTTTTGAGTCCAAGCTGAGTCTCAAGTCTCTGGGGTATGAGTCTGAATCTTGAGTCTCTGGGGTTCGAGGATGAGTCTTGAGTCTCTTGGGTGTGAGTCCAAGTCTTGAGTCTCTGGGGTGCGAGTCAATGTCAAGTGTCGAGTCCCAGTTTAATCTCGAGCCTTTAAGATGCAAGTCCAAGCTGAGTCTCAAGTCTCTGGGGTGCAAATCTGAGTCAAGTTTCTGGGGTTCGAGTCCAAATCTTGAGTCACTGTCTGAGTCAAGTCTCTAGGTCTGAGTCTTGAGTCTCTGGGGTGTGAGTCCAAGTCTTGAGTCTCTGGGCTTCGAGTCATAGTTTAGAGTCTCTGGGGTGTGAGTCCAAGTCAAGTCTCTGCAGCTGAAGGATATGTGAGTCCGATTTGAGTAATTAACAGTAACATTCAGTATCTCTAGGACAGCTTCCATTTGTGCCAAAGGGGGGCGACAAAATCTTAAGGCCTTTTCACACAGAATCCGCACTGGCTTAAAGAAAAATTATACCAATCACCATTACTACTTGATGGAGCCATATTTTCTTCCTCATCATAAAAATAATAATAAAAATAATAGCAAGATTGGACAATCATTACAGAACATTGACAAATATCCCACTTCACTGACAATTCTCCTTCTTCGGCCACAGCAGGCTGGTAATGAAGTTATTTTAGTTCCTGTTTACCACATTTTTCCCTGAAACCTTGATTACACGCCAAATAAAACCGAATCTAGAGACCATTCACACATAATATCGTTACACTTAAAATGTATGTATTTTTATGAAAAAATGAGTATCTCTTTAGGATGAATGGAATTATGTAAGTATGTCACACAAACCTTCCGGTTCGAACAGAAAGGTTCTGCCCCAAAAACCTGAGAAGGTTCTGAGGTCCGTGCTCCCAAAGACACGTCGCGGCCCACTGCTCTGCTCTCTTGGCCAGGGTTTCATCCCAAACCTGAAAGTATTGAAAGACATGAGATACACCAAAACATGCCTTAAGAGTTATTCAGACTGGAGCAGTCAGTAACTTTGATTACTTTTTATATGCGTGTTTCTTGGGTTCCTTAAAAAAAAAATGCGTTAGCTAAATAAAATGCAAAATATTTGAGATTCTTAACTCTTTAAACTCAAGGGTCCATATGTGAGTTTTCCCAGTCTTATAACTACAAAAACTACAAATTAATCTCATAGTAGTTAATGAATTATAAGCCCTAAAGGGCTCATGTGACATTGACATCACCATTTTCCAAATTTTTGTTTTTGTTACTGTGCCTTTAAGACAGATATAAGTAAATGAGCTCTGTTCTAATTGACTGTCCTGGATTGTGCCTTGTTCAAATAGCAGTCCAGGCTGAAACACTCCTTTTAACTTCAGTATAAATGGGCGGGGCTAAACTGCTGTAGGAAAACAATTCAAAACGGGCTGTTTTTGCAGTTTGGCTTCTGGATATAGACTGTAAGACCTGAAAAGTGAGTGGCTTGTTTTAAAACTTTAACAATGGTTACACACTATATCAAACTATTTTATTTCGAAAGTGATATGGGGCCCTTAGAAATGTATTACCTGAAAAATAAGCTCAGGCTTTAAGGGGTACGGCTTAGAATCTTAGCAACAGCACTGCTAGGTGGACATTTATTAGGAAATCACTACTGACATACAGTATTAGCCCTTAAACTTAGCATTGCTCCATTAAAGACATTCTAATGTCTGATTTTCATGTGTAAAGTAAGATAATTTGTGTCGTTGCTTACAGTAGATGTCTGGACATGCATTTTTAAGGATGTAATGCTAGCTGTTGCGGAGCCGGCAAGCTTAGTAGCTTAGTCTGACAAAATTGGCAAGACATATACCATTAGTAGACACAGGAGGGCTCAAAATGAAAAGGCAGCATCTGGCTATGCGATGAAAAGGATACCATCTGGATATGCTAAATCTATCCTACCTTACTTTCTTAGAGTAACTTAATCATGCCCTCACCATTACCAAATTCACAAGCCTTAAAATGAAACCTAAAAACTTGCCTGTGGTTGTATTATCAGCCACATGTGGCCAAGAGATTGAAAATACAGTCAACAGCAATGAAATGAAAAGAAATGACCACTGCTTCCCAAAATCCAAATCCACTGATATCATCTGCACCATTGGTTTTCCAGTGAAGACCAACGTAGACTAATAAAGTAAATGCATGGTTGGTAGAGCCCACCACTGCACAGCTTTCCAACATTTACATTTAGTCTATCAGATCTCTGTAGGGAAGGACTTTCTCATGGTGGGCCAGGCCTACTTCAGCATGCCAAATTTACCTGCTTGTTCCAACAGTCCAGGAGATATTAGTGAAGGCACCTTCCAAATGCCGAGATAACTGGAGTAGCACCAAACCAAACCAAAACCTAAACAACCAGGCTGAATCTCAAAAGGCTCCCTGCTCCCACTATGTAGGCCATGAAATAATGGCTTTGACACCCAAATAGTGAATTATATGTCTAAAGGAAAGAAATTTGTATTCAGCCTAAGCCACACAAGTCTAACATTTGTCTAACATTTAGTATGCTGTGTGGCTGTAGACTGACACAGTTCCTTGACCTATGTAGTGCACTATATAGGAAGTAGTGAGCCATTTGAGATTCAGCTTTACAGCAAATATTTACTGTCTATCACAGTGCAATTTTTTATCACTTAGACTTAAAGCCCATCACTGTGAGCTGTACTGCAAAGCTCGCTTGCCATCTTTGTACATAAAAAGGAAACAACATTTGGTTTTTATTTACAAAGCTTTGTTTGAAACAGTTTCCAGCCTACATTTCATCTTTCCTTACAGTCAGAACAAATGACTGGCTGGTTCTGAATGTATTATTCTCAACTACAGGATTTACAAGATAAGCAAGCATTTTCATGCCCATAGAATCCTAAAATGCATTATCTTTCACCTGCCAGTCAATGTAAAATCATTTCAAATAACCTGAACCTAGATGAAAGCTGTTACTTCATCTTTTATCTTTTTCTATTATAGTTGTTTATTTTTTTTATATCTACTTTCTACCTTGTTTTCTTTACATTGATGTTTGAATTGTTAATATATTACTACATTGTCTTTTATTGTGTGTCTTACAGGGCACCCTACGTGAGACATTGGACACAGTGGGCTAACCTGTCTATGTATAAATAAAATAAAACAAATAAATATATAAATAACTTTCTTAAAAGCTTTTACTTTTTGGGATAGAGCCTCACGATGTCAAAACATTCGTGTTTTCACCACCTTTGGAACATGTGGTCCCTACAAAGTGATAAATACAAACGCGAAGGCACACACACTATGGGAGGAATCTGAACCCGGTGAACTTTAGCGAGGTCGCCAAGCACTCCGCGCGCACACGTGCTAATCGTCACCGTCTCATTTTAGCTAACAACACTGGCAAATAAACCTCAGTAAAAAGGCTTAAAAAGCTCTAAAAGAGCTGTTTACCATGTACTCCATGTTAGAAGCAGGAGGGAAAACCTTTCCGCGGACTTTGTTGTGGTAGTGCAGGATGGCTAGCATGTCCTCCTGGGAGATGGCGCGCCTCTTTCTGCCGCGCGGGAAAAGCGCCGTGTCCGAGGCGGCCAAGGGTGCGCCGAGGCCGGCCGGAGTCAGCGAGGGAGCCGCGGTGGAGTTCAGGGCGTACGCTCCACATACTCCACACCACAGGCACAAGAGCAGCACGTCCACAGCCAGACACGTCTCATTCATCATCAGCTTCATTGGATTTGACTCCAGAGGGATTCTTTACTTTTCTGCAAAGTTGCAAAAAAAGCATCTAATCTGCGAGTTCATCACTGAAATACCGCTCTATAAAAGCCTGTGTTGCAATGCAATACAAAACGAAAGAGTGTTGTGACATTTGTACTGTTTTTGTGAAAATGTATCATAAATGTGCAAAGACAAAATCGTTTCAGTAGTAATTAATTAGTAATAAATGTCATGCATTGGCCTAATCTGTGGATAATGAATGATGCTACAAAATAAAAGTCTCTACCTTCACTAAAATGCTGATAGGTCTGTTGGTTTTGCAGGAATACAATCTCTTTCTCCTCTTTCTCTGTGTATGTGCAAGGCTTGTGCAAAGCTCCTCCTGTCCTACAGCTCTGGATGACTCCCCCTTCAGAGAGGGACTGAAGGCTTTATATACCCCCGAGGTACTGGTCACAGGAAGTCTTTTGGCTTGCTTTTGAAGGTGCACGGAGTCCCACCCCATCACCTGAAACACATCATTTGGAGACGTAATGCCTTGTTTCTTTTATCCATTTCCTGGCAGATTTTGAGTGGACTTAATCAAAACATCTGCTTTTGGTTTGCACAGCTGGCAAGACTAGAAAAGAAAACATAAGATAAGCAAGAGAATAAACCGTTGACCCTGAAAGTACAGATCAGCACAGGGAGCAGCACTATAGACTTGCTGAGTTTGTGCCAAATGTGACAGTGAAGATCAGAACAGAAAAGAAAGCTTGTGCATTGTGCATGGCTTGTAATCCATTTATTATGACATATATAATGGCACAAGTGTAGACACTGTGGAGAAGATGCAAAAGGAGCTCATTTGCTGTGGGCCACACACTTTGGCATTCAACTTAAGACATGTACTTGTCAGGCAGCATATTCATAACCATTTCATGTAATAACTTTCTGTAAAGGAGCTTTTAGAGGTGGATGTCTGGTTCCTATCAGCACCACTGTAAACAATTCTGACTCGGTAAGTTTCTGTAAAACAGAGCATTTCATACCAAACCACTCTGAATGGCTTTGTTTACATCTTAACCATTTAATTATGCCGAAAATTTTAAGAGCAATCAGTTCCCCTTCAAGTGGATTCATTGAAGCTGGGTGATATGATAATATATTCTCATTATGGTGTTAAATTACATGATGTATATGATGGGTATATGAGCAGTACTTAAGAACACTGGACAACTGCATGGATCATACAGAGAGAAATTTAGACCAATTACAGAGAGCTTGTAAACAACAATCAGTGAGTCACTGTATAAAATGCCTAGAAACAAGTATCTGATTGGATGGCAGCCCATTATGACATCATCTTTCTCATTTTACAAATGTCGAATTAACAATTTTGTTATTTCCAACTTCTTCACAAGCTAAATGTCATGTATCGTGCCTTCAAGTATCGTGATGTTTTTTGCCATATCGCCAACCCCTTAGTCTGCACTTTCATAAATGCCTCCATACAGGCTGCAGTGCAAAGTAAAGATCATGGAATTGTCTGAAAATGACATTTGGATTGTATTTATTAGGTACGCTGTGATGTAGTTAACTTTATTAAACCCCACAATGACATAAAGCTCCATATGATCACTCAGTAATGTAACAAATCTGTAATAGACAACAGTTATTTGAATATTTGTGGACACTTGAAGAAATTTGAGCAGCTTTTACAGCTTTGGGGTTAGAGCTGGGTCTCTCACCTCTATTTATTTTCTTTGTGGAATTTATTATAATTCACTGTACTGTAAAGATTACACTTGTTCGGTGTTGGACTCCAGCAGCTGTGGCTTTGCCAGGACGGTTGCGGTGCCAGCAGTGGAGCCCCTTCAGCAGGTCATCATTTTCTTTGGCAGCTGGCGAACAAATTAAAACAATGTGACGCAGGATTTCTCTCCCCCCCTGTGTGTTTCTCTCTGTAAAAACAGCCGTTTCCAAACCTTCTTGGAAGTGATGGACTTTTGGCGCTGGAGTGAGGCCATTAGAGGATGAAAACTCTCTGTGCTGCTGTATACTGAAGCCTTACAGCCTATTAGTTTATCTGTATGTTGATGGGAAATGTCTGCTTTTGTGCAACGGGAAAGAACATAATGAAAATTAATCATTGTGCAAATGCTTACGCAACACAATTAATCATCCTATTTATGATCCACTCTCACATGCTTTCATGCCAACAGTTGCTAGGTTGGGCAAGCTTTACAGAATGTTTGCAAAATTCCCATCCAACCTAATGACAAACTGTAGAACATGATTCAGTTTATATCACAATACCTACATTTAGAGTGAGTTATTCATTCAACCTTATGAGAAACTGTAGAACATGACTATGAGTTATTCAGTAAATTTTAAAGCTGACAAGCTTCTCCAATAATACTCAAAGTTAGGCTTTATTCTGAAGTGTTTACTGAAATTTTGAATAAAATAGCGATATACAAAGTAAAAAATGTGTAACATGCATGTCTTACAAATTCCAAGAAGCTAGAGTTAAGTTTAAACTCATTATGGTAAAGTACTCATATTCACAACTATGTAATATTCACAACTATTAGCTTGGTGCTAACATGACACTTGAGACTGAATCCCGTAACTAACTAAGTTAGCATTATCGTAGCAGTGAGAATCACATATAATCTATATATATATATATAAATGAAATCACTTCAATATCCTGTGCTTTTATGATGGTAAAGTATGCTAGCATGCTATTAGAAAGCTAGCAAGTGTTAGCTAGTGAGGCTAAAGTTAACTACCAGGAGTTAAGTATAAACTTGCTGCATTTACTCTAGATGTTAGTGCAACTCAGCAGCTCTTTAACATTTAAAATAATGGAAAACTGAAGAAAAATTAAATTGCAGCGGAGACAATAATCCTTTGCTGCTTCAGAAAAGTGCTTTTGACACTTTATTCTGCAGCAAAGCTGATGATACTGAATGTTTTGATGCATTACAATACTGTTACAGTAAAATTAGCCATATAATAAGACAATAATCTGCCTGTACTGTGAATTTTCTCAGAATTCAAAATGGAATGATTCAACGCAATACATTATTGTACTTTAAAGTTACTATTCAAGACATAACACTGTGTACCATATCTTATTGCTTTTGTAGCTGCGTTATTTAAAAAAGTGGTTCATCCCAAGAGAAGTAATGTAACGGTACACACACGTTGTGGTGAGCGTGTTGGCTGAATCTGTGTGGTCAGTCTGAAAGCCTATTTTCAAAGCCAGTTTTTCACTTGTGCTGTTGAGCCACTTGTCATAGCTGTGGTTGCAAAAGTAAACGATTCCTTAAAGTAATAATTTTAGCATCAGGAACTGTAAAAGGTGGAAAGAACAGAGAGAACTTGGGCCTATGTTTCAGGGGGCTTCTGTTTTACTCTAATAGAGAGTGGAAAGATGGAGAACATGCAGGAGAACGGGAGGTGGCAGTGTGGGAAAATTCATCATAGTACCAAAGAGATGAAACTCAATCTCCAAAATGGAAATTTTCAGGGAGAAGAAAAAACACTTTTTTTAGAGACTTTTGGACAATTTATTGAGTCATTTTGTACCATTTCTATTTGTCCATTCATCATGAAATGTTCATACAATGTAATGGGAAACTGGCGATTTCAAATAACGGAAAAATTATATGTGGAAATGAACAGTTGTTCATCAGGGGAGGCAAGGGAGGCTGAGCCTCCTCAAAAGTTAGCTGTAGATAAATGCAAAAAAGTGATGCATTCTTCTTTGATCAGTCCCTAAATGCTTGCCGTATAGGGATTAACACATTACCATCGCTGCTCATGTTGAATACCAGAGAAAGCTGAGAACCTGCAGCAGGTAAGCAAGCTGACCAATAAGAATCAACAAGCAAATTAAGCAACGTTATTCACTTCTGTCAAAAAAGACAACAGATTTGCCTTCTTTCATATTAATGAATCTTTATCAGTTACAGTAGCATTACATATGATCTTACAAACCGGTACTAAGATTTATGCTTCAGCGTGTAATAACATAATTAGACTCTCTCTTTTCTCTCTGTGTGCTTTCTTAGTAGGTTATTCCTGCTTTTGTGGGCCACAATATACATGAACAAAGTATGTCTTGTGAATAACTTTCTAATGACCCATAAATAAGCAGTGTATTTTTCCAAAATTCTCCATTTTTAATTTATACTGAGCACTCCTAATCTTACATAAGGAGTATCCTCATCAATCACAAGGCTGATGTGCTTTATCCCACCCACACATTTGTGTTCCAGTACAGTCTCTCTGTGTTCAAGTTAGAGAATCCCACTGAGAGAAAGCTAACCACCAAGCAGAAGCTAACCTCGCAATCATAACTGGGCTATCAAGAATGTCTGTTCGTTAGTTCAGCACAATGTTTAGTTGTGCTTCAGCGATGTAACAGGCTGGGAGTGTTGGACTGAGGGCTGTCAATCATGTATGCATATGGGAATATTTAGGCCACACCTGTAATTTTTCTTAGATAGGCCTGTTCAGTGTTTTTAAAGCTGTGTTTTATTATATTTTTATCTTGTTTTTATTTTCATTCAAACTTAATATAACACCCAATTTTAGGGTCATGCAAACAGTTTTAAGAATTTTCATTGTTACACTGCTAGCTTGATGCTCAGTGCACAAGGTTTTAGTTGGTTTTGTCCCAAGTAAATTTACATTTTATATATATATATATATATATATATATATATATATATATATATATATATATACGGGTGTGTGTGTGTGTGTGTACGTGTATATATATATATATATACACACATAAAAATACCTTGTTGGAAGCTACATTCATTGTGTAGTTAACATTAATGGAGTTATATTTCTTAAGTAGCAGCATTGGGCAGTACCTAAATACGAACATTTACAATGGCTTTACGTAATTATGATATAAAAAAAGTTGTATTGTCGTTGTATTCCCTTACAGTTGACAGAAAAATATCAAACTGACCTGATCTGAAAGTAAACTCTGTTATTCTTGTATTTGCTCCATAAAATTCTACAGTTTGACTAGTTATAAATTTAACCTTTGCTAATGTTAACATGCAAGATTTTATTGCTGAAGTGAACTGACATTAACAGTTTTACAATGTGAAAAGAAAGCAAAGTCTCAAGTTTCTTTTTCGCGTGTATGATTTCTTTCTTCAATAGTTTTTGAATGATTTGTGCAAAATGTTAATATGTGTGAATGATCATTATTTGTATTTAAGACAATCAGGTCCTGTTTAGTTTTTGTGTGAAATTAATACCCTTTTTAAACTCAGGACACATAGATTTATGTGTACTACCGAACCCGATGAGAGCTAAGAGACTATCTACAAATTACGGTCATCAAAATCCAAGCACAACGTGCCAATATCCTTTTGAACTAGTACAGGCCTTTTAACAGTTAGAACACAAATGATGGCCAG